TAGATTTTTAAAGATTTAGATTTTTAAAGCCATATTAGGCAGCTCATACATAAAGGTACTGCAGGTCAAACCTACTCTTTCATCAAAGTGGATTAGATTATTTAACAGATACTCCATCTCCAACTTCTAACCCCATCCTAAGCACAGATATTATTCCAGCAAAAGTCTTTAGAATACAAGGCACTTAAACTCCATTGTATTTTGGGTGAATAAAAGTAAAATGAGGAGCAATTGGAATGATGATTTACTCATTAACTCAACACAGTCAAATAAATAAAAGCAAAGCAAGTCTAAAGAAACCTGTCTAAAATAGCTGACGAGACTTTTCCAGAGGATGGATGAATCAGCCTGGTTTAAGTCAAAATGAAATGTGGAAATAGTTGCAAACTGTCCATGGACCAGTGTCTCATTCTAAGTAACATCATGAAACTGGTACAAAAATTACCTTCAAGATAAATTAATTCTACATTCATAAACAGCATACCAAGCTCTTGACAGCTATACAGAAAGCTGCATAGCTTGATGCCAAAGAAATGGATTTAGGTTATTTTAAAAAGCACACTGATGAGTAATCTGTTCTTTTCTTACCATCGTACTTTATTGCACGTCTGTGTAGCGCCAAGAGGAGAACCTGCCACCATGGGGACTTGGATGGGGCTATGCTGTTTGTTCATGACAAGATCCAACTTCTCTTCCAGTGATTTACAGGTAGCCTCTAGTGCCAGCAACTTTGCCTCAATGCTATCCAACCGCAGGCATATTGTCTGATTAATGGAATACAGGAATGACTAGAAAGAGGAGAATGCAAAAGAAACTGGCTTTAAAAGACTTGCGCATTTATCTTCAGCAACATACACATAAGGAAGCTCCAGATAAATGTGACTGGAAAACAATTCTAAAGGAACTAGCAGTGTGCCTAGTGACAAAATTCAGCCACATACAGAACTGATGACATCCAGGAGCATTTTAGCATTCTCAAATTCTTCCAGGTCTTTATTTAGAAGCCAAAAGCATCTGAGCCAAACGCATTTTCACCTAAGCACTTTGTCACTATGATTTCAGACATCACAAAATCATTTAAAATGACATGCCAAAGCCTTTCACTCGATACATGTAAAAACAAAACGATTATAAATCTATGAACGCATCCTCCTGGATAAAGTTAAATAAGATTTTTTTTCCTGTCCAAACAAATAAATTCAGATGATTACAGTGGAAATTATATCAACATAAATAACCTCAGAGACAATTAATGCCACTCACTTAAGTTTTCTCCTGAACAGCAAATCAAGAAAAGCAAATAAATAAAATCTGTTTTCCTAAGCAATTTTATTCAAAAGAAGGCATATTCTACTTGGCTTCTCTTGGGAAAAATAAGCCATTAAAGGGAAGCATTACACACATTCTCCTTTGCAAACAGCAACTATGCCATCTCGTGGCCCTCCATTACAATTTACACACCTAATCAAGCTGGTTTACAGTGCTGCTCCAGCGGTGCTCTTTCAATACACGGCTTCAGTTTCTACAACCGTTTCAAAAATACAGAACTACATACTATTTTAGCGTGTGTGGCAGTAAAATACTAATTATACACTTATGCTCCAAGACCAAAAAAAAAAGAAAAAAAAGGCTAAAGCACCCTAGTGAGAACAGCAGAGGAAATTCTGCAAGTACAGAAAAGCCTGAGCTACTGAGCCTGAACCAAATATGGTTTAACTATTAGGAGAATGTTGTTAGCTTGAAATACTACTTTAAAACATGCTGAAAGTATCTACAGATTGTAATACAAATTCATGTTCAAGTTTATCTTTTAGGTCAACTTTATTCACTTTATCAAAAAATGTACCAATAGCGATGTTTGAGTCACTGAAACTAATTCTGATGACATTTTATATCACATACAAAATTCTTGCTACCGATTTTACACTGGAAAAGTAGCCAATCATCCAGACTTTAAAATTTATGAACAAAAATGAGCAAACGCTTACAAGAAGGTTATGAATAATTCCAGTATTATGTATAACAGTTTATTTTACATTCTTTTCTTCTACATATTTCCCTAAGAAAGCTAACTTAATTGGTATTACGAATAAAAACAGAAAAAGGCATTATCATAACCTTAATAGAGGGATCCTGACAGTTAATTTCTATACGCTGACGTTTCAGAGCAGGCTCTACATCATCATCAGTCACTTCATGATTCTCCAACACAACTGCAAAGAAAAATAAGCATTGCCATAGTTTATAATACAAGCAGACAAGGTTCAAATTAAAAATACATTAAATGGATAAAGAGAAAAAATGTAAAATGCATTTCATTAACATATTGTAGTATTCTTTTACACTTACTTGAGTTTTCTCCTAAATATATGACAACAGTTTACGCTTCTTAAAAAACATTTATCCAAATCTAAGACTTGGTTTCAAATGCACTGAGGATGTAACACTCAAGCAGCACCTTGGATTTTTTTTATTAGGAACTTACCACAAGGTAGCAGAGTTGCCACATTAGCTGTTCTGCTTTGACAAATTCTACAGGCTTCTGTGCCCTCATGTTTATACAAAACCATAAAAAATACTAATGAAGTTTTGTACAAAGACAGAACTACACCCACTACTCCATGTAATAGCAGGTTATTTTTCCCCAGTATAGATGAACAAAATTCTGCAAGCTCTCCAAAATAAATACTTACATTTGCAGACCTATACGTTCTAATAGCCTTTAATCTAAAGATAAACATTTTGAAGAAAACTGTAACAAAAATGAACTGCATTTACAACTGGAAGGCCTGGCAGGTAAAATCAAGAGGCAGAGCCCTGAACAGCCTCAGAGTCAGAGCACCACCTGAGATAGGATCAGGCTAAAGTTCCTTTACCAAACTGAGCAAAGGAAGATTTGTTTGAGGTTGCCCATACCACACCTGACAATCCTGACACCAAGTTACCGGCTAGGCTAGGACAGGCAGGTCCCAGCTTCTCCTCCAATTCTTTGGGAACATTTCTGAAGTAACTTCCATTCTGCATCAGAAAAAATTTTTTTTTGATATGCGTTTCTGTTTTCCACAACTGTAGTTACTGTTCTTTCAGTCACTTACTGACATGTAATGGCAGCATAGGATCAATGTCTATAGCTGATCTCACCCCATTTTCGCTTAGTAGGTCAAGTTCTAAGGAAGGGAAATCACAATATTTGCTCTCAGAAGTGTTTTTCAATTTTACTGTCATTTTGTTATACATGCAATGAATTTTAATAATGTATGAGAGAAACTATTTTACAAGTAAAACAACAATTCATAATAGATGAGTAATAGTTCTCACTGAGGGAAAGTCTAAAACATATATTTGGTCTGGAGAAAAACAAAAGATTGCAGGAGGCCACATTTCATTCAAAGTTTTTGGCACTAGCTTACCCCTGCACAAAAATTCAGAAGAAAAGTAAAATGAGAAAAAATAAAGTGATCTAAAGGGTACTGAAGATATTCAAGTGAAGCTATTGAAAATCTGGTATGTAGTCTTAAGCGCCTCTCAGAAAAAAAATCTGCAGCACTCCTTCATATTTTTAATAAAAGCTCAACAGTGATTTCCACTTTGTTAATGGGCAATACTATAAATGATCTTTCTCGTGCCATCACTGCCACCTCTACTGTACCTGGGTTATCTGGAGTCAGGTCTTCAACAGCAATCTGAACAACATCTGCCAAATCCTGTTCTGACATCATTCAGAACCAGGCAGCAATATCCAGTCAAACACCACTGCAGGTCCCCAAATAAGTGATTTTACAAGTCATGCAATCCTGAAAAACAGCAGCAAAAAGAGTGTTAATGCAGATATACTTGATATGTCAATCCTGCCTTTATTTTTTCATTCTTCCTCTATAAAAGGAGATGCAGTTCCTAACAGAAGTGACCAACAGACAAAGTGACTATCCAGTGGTATCAACTGCTACTTTATTCGGTAGCCCCAAAGACCAAAGGACCGAACTACATGCATCACCTCTATAAGTAAATCTTTCTATACGAGGATGGAGATAAGAGCTCAAGCCTTCCTTGCTGATCCACCTTTCTGCATTTTCCCAATGGATAAAGAGAACATCTAGCTTCAGACATCTGGCAGCCCATCAGTATAAAATACAAAATAAAATGTTTTCTTTTAAATTTATATTTTTCTTTTAGAAGTTCAAAGAGCATACAAGACTTTTCCTAAATTGCAGGGGTTTGATTTACAAATTATTACTTAGGTCTTGGAAGTGATCAGACTTTAGTATTTAGTCTTGATGTCACAAAAGGATATGAAGCTCCCAAGCCACATTAGCTTTGCAACTGTTCCACTCTGTACAGATCTATATGCGCACAAGATCCTTACATGTGTGAATTGTAACAGGCCTCTAAAATCTGCATAAACACTCAGCAAGAACAAGGAGCTTCCTCACAGCTAATTGCAACTAGACTTTAAACAAAACTTGATTTTTTTTCTTGGCTATTGAACTTGCCTGGTTTTTCTACAGCTCAATTCTGATGAAACTATGTTCAGAATATGGTCCTGATTTTAAAGCCAAAATATTTCTCAGCCCTGCTCCCTTGGAACTCCCTGTCAAGGTTATTTATTAGTGTTTTAAGAGAAACCTTCAGCCTGTAAAATTAAATTAATATCACTGGAGCCATTCATATCTGTGCTTTCCCACAGTTTACAAAGGGATGGACAATGAATACCAAGAGATCAGCCCATTTTTTCCCATTTAACCTGAAGCAAAAAACACTAGAGAGATAATTTGAGGTTTACCAATGGAAATGGTAATTCATCCCTTAGCACTGACATGGAATCAAATCCAACTATGCATAAAGAT